TATTTGATTGTTTATTAAGATAGAAATGTATTTTGAATGTTTTTTTAGCTCATGATGTTACATTTGAATGGCAGATAACAGATGGCTGGAAAGAAGAACATTTTAATAATTATCTTTAATGCCTACTCCAAGGATTAGTTTTGTTATCAGCTTATCAAATAACCTGTCGCTGTCAAGATGAGTGTCAATACAGCAGCTGTTGCAGATCTTTTTAATTTACTCGAATCTAATAAACTTGGGGAGGTTGAAGAAATAAAGCAAGTATTTCACGAACACTTCTTGTCTAGTAAGTAAAATATATATCATATTATACATTTTGATATTATACTTTTATTTTTGATGATGATGATTATTATTATTATTATTATTATTCAATTTACCATTTAGCAAAAGATAGCTGGCTCGTCAATGGTTTATTGGATTATTATCTTTCAACAAATTCTTCACGTATTGTTGAAGTATTAGCAGGTGTACGTGAGCCACATGATAAACATTTGTTAGATAGATTGGCTGAAGTTATTTCTAAGACTGGAAATAATAAACAAAAAATTAAAGGGCTTACTTTGCTCGGTCATATTGCACGTAAACAACCAACCTGGTTATACAAACTTGCTAATCATACTTTGTTTCGTGATTTGTTAAAATTACTCAAGGTATATTATTATAATACAGTTCATTTCATGAATATTTTCATTTTGATTACACTCTAATTTGTTGATCATTTCTTTTTTTTAGGTGGAAACAGATACGTTGTCACTTATGAGTGCATTACTTTTATTGGTCATGTTGCTACCAATGTTACCTGTCGCATTAGGACCATATTTGCAAGAAATATTTGAAGTATTCAGTCATCTGGTTTTTTATTATTATCAACAATCATTGACGCTCTCTCATCCTAAACACACAACGTCAAATGTGGTACTTAGCAGTATTGACATAGATCATCTTTATCTGTTACACTTACAGGTGAATAATTATTTATTTATTAAATTAATTATAATATAGATTTTATATTTAAAATACAAAATAATAATATATCGTAGGTGGGATTATACAGTTTATTTCACAGACTATACGCTATGTATCCTTGCAATTTCATCTCGTATCTTAAACAACAGTGTTTTCAACGTGATCAAATGTCTACTTTTTCTCATACCATTAGACCAATGTTAGATTCTGTGCGTATGCATCCATTTCTTGTTACAGCATCTAAAGATACTGAAATTTCTGCCACCAGGTATAAATTTAATTGGAATTTTTTTTATACAATTAAGAAAATAAACAATTTTTCATTGAATTTATAATATTGTAGATGGAAAAAAATGGAACATCATGATATTATAGCTGAATGTGATCGTTTCACGTTAGACAAATGTAGAGAGGAAGTATTTGGAGTTACAAATTGTCGATTTACACCACCATTGGGTTAGTTATTTATTGTTAAATATTATTCATACGTAAAGGATTATTTAAACTTGAAGTATTTATAGATCATTCTTCCAATTTTGTACCACTAAATATCAGTGGGGGATTGACTACCACCGAGATAAGTAATGGAGATGAGGAAACATTTTGGTCACCTAGTATGACCGTTCCACCACACAGTCCATCATTCCAAAGTACATCACACGAGGTTCGTTCAACACCTTCGACACCTAATACTAATAGAAGTGGTACATCTCCACCTGAAGCTGCTGTTGAAGCTACACCAGAAACAACACCTGTTAAGGTATGTGTTTTCATTTGATAATTAAAATAAACTTTGATTTATATATATTCATTTAATATGATTTAGGATGTTCGTAAATTATCAACAAGGCAACCACCAGTTGGTTCTGCTGCTGTTCGTGCTCTAAGTATTTTGAGCAATGGTGCAGTAACTCAAACTTCACGACCTTCAACGCCTATTCCTTTAAATCCTTCAGTATCAACCACAGCATACTCTGGTATATTAAATTCTAGCGATACTGGAACTAACATACCAGGATTTCTTTCACAAAAGATTAGCAGATTAATTGCTGATAGACAAAATGCTGTTAATCAATCAATGAAATTAACAACTATCGAGGACGATAATACTGCTGTTACGGAAACTGATATAACTCAAAATTGCAAGAACGATTCATGGCAAGAAGATCAAGAGGTTTTATTAAATAATATTTCATTCTATATGCATTCATCACTGTATAATCTAATTATTACTTTATGTAATCGTTGCATATTAAAACCTGAGGACTTTAATTACAGGTATTAGAAATTGTAAGCTTTCAAGATAACAACAGTCTTGAAATTCAAAAAAATCGGGAACAAAAAGTTGATTTTCAAGCTGAGAAATTGCACGGTACTATAGCAAATTTGTCACAAAAAGTTCAACAACTTCGTTTTTATTCTCAATGTCAACAACCTGTACAACATATTAATAAGAATTTAAATAAGGTAAATTGATGAAGTTTTTATTGATAACGTAAATTGATCTTGAATAAAATTGCATTTGATTTTGTAGTTGAGAAGAACCAGATCATGTTCGGATATGAAAATGCAAAAACGAATGGATAATAATAATGAAGGAAAAGAAACAAATTTTGTGAAAAAATTTGAAGAAAGTAGTACTCAAACGAATAGTTTATATCAATACGAATATTTGTTGTTAGGTATCTTAGATCAGAAAGAACAAACGTCTGAACAAAAAACTATTCAAAATAATTCTGAATCTAGAGTATCACCAACCACTATGCTTGATCGTTATGTTGATATTTGTGCACGTGCAAGTAGTTTTTCTAATGATAATAACAAAGCACGTAAGTTGTATGATTCAATGTTTATTATCTTTTGTAAAAATGATGAATGAAATGTAACAAATGTTGTTTTTCAACTATCAGGTAGAAATTCGACAAAAATCAAAATTGCAGAAGATAATACGGAAGATGATGCGGGAGAGGAAGATAATTTAGATACGGATCATGTTAATCAATTATTGCAATTAATGCAAATGCAATTACAATTTGAACGACAGCGAAGAGAAGTGCATGCTGAACGTAACAGAAGACTTCTTGGTAAATTAAGAGATTCACGAGCATTGGAAGAACACAATAATGCATTGGTGAATATATATTTCATGTTTGAAACATCTTTCATTATCATTTATCATTTGTATTTAATATTTTTCTATAATTCTTCTTCTTTTAGACTGATCGTTTTAGAATGTTAGAAAGGGAGGTTGAAAATTTAAAAATTGAATTAGATAAAAGTAAAAGGGATAATCGAGAAGCTGATGAACGATTTAAAGATGTGTTACATCATTGGCAAACTAAGGTTTGTTATTTTATATTACATTTTTAAATTTTCTTTTTATATTCAATTAAATAAAATAATGTAATAATAATAATAATAATAATAATAATAATAATAATAATAATAATATTTTTAACGATGATATATATGATACAAAAGTGTGTAGAAGGAGAACGACAAAATCAAATTTTAAAAGATCGAAATGATTCACTCAAATTAGAATTAAAAGAGGAACAGAAAAAGGTAGCTGTATGTGAACAAGAAAAAAGTTCTGCAGAAGCTGCATTGTTTGATGCAGGACACCAACTTAAAGAAGCATTGAAGGCAGCTAATCGTACGAAAGATTTGGAGAATAATCTCGATATTGTACAAAAGAAACTTCTTCTTTTAGGAGAAGTAAGTTTAACGTTTTCTTTTTGTTTTGTTTTTTTTTTTAATTTCATTATAAATCTTCATTTTTAATTTACGAAACAATTTGACTTTGATTTTGATTTTTTCATAGGCACAATCGAAATGGCAAGAAAATATAGGAGCACGATCACCTATCGTCAATCAAGAAACAACACAGATACAACATACATATACAGATGAAATAGCTAGTAAATATTTTCTTTTGTTTTAATACAAATATAATGATAATAATATTATTTAATATGAGATATCTAATATGATTGAATATAATTTTTGTTTAGATCTACGACGCCAATTAGAAACCCGTACTTCTCACATAGAAGTTTTGAGAGTACGTTTAGCTGAATTAGAAAATAAAGAAAATCGTAAAGAAGCACAACTGGTAGAAATTCAACGTTCTCTGTTAGAAACTAAAGATCAACATGAAACCGAATTAAATGCAGTTGAATCGAAATATAAAGCACAATTGGAAATAAATCTTTTATTAGAAAGTCGTATACTCGAGCTTCATGGTAAAATCGAGAATTTAACTTACGGAGCTAGTACAAGTACTGCAAATCTTCCATCATCTGCGTCTCCTAAAGAACGTACTCCTCCATTATCAGTCAGTTTAGCTTCGTCAAGCGAAGGAAGTCTTGCTTTTATTCACTCCAGTACTGGAATTATGAATGATTGCTGTGATTCTGCAGGTGAAATTCCAAATTTGCAAGCTATTGTTGAACCTATCCCAAGTAATCAAGTTGCTGCTTCACCATCTCGCTCAAATCAACAACAACAACAACGACAATTTCCAAAGCAAGATTAACATATTATTGAAATAATTCTCTAATTAAACAGGCCTTTGTTTCGCATCATTGCAAGTTATGTCTGGTGCTGTGCTGATCATTAATCAGAGGAAGGTTATTTGTAGCTTTTTATTACTAGATTAGTTGTAATTTACTAAATCTTGTTATTACGTGATTGCCATTTATAAGTAAAGAGACATGTTACTTAATCGAGTTATTAATAATGGTCAACAACCTTTACTGTTCACAAACGAAGCAAGAATAAAAAGGTTCAGATATTTTATGAAAATCTTATTACATTATTCATTTCAACTTACTAATTTGTCCATTACTTTTTTTTTTTATATATAAACGTAAGTATTAATAAATGTTCAATTCAAATTACTGAATATATTTGTATAATTGTGTTTGAATTCCACCTAAAGTAAAAAAAAAATTAGGTCTCAATTATTTATATGATCATAATAATATGATCTTTCTTTTTATTATTATTATTATATTATAAACATTTACACTCATCTTAAAAAGCATATACTGTAATTGATTGTACTATAATGTTGATACTTATAGATTTCGTCAATAATATAAGTATATCTCATTGCAAAATTAAATAAGAACAGTGGGATTTGTATATTGATTAACATCACAGATGTCAATGCATATTTTAAATATTTTTAAGTACATAATTTAAAACCAATCAAGATCAACTTGAAATTAAATATTTTGTCGAATGTGAATTATCTCTTATGTTACCCTTCTACGCACACTACAATAGAAAAATAAGTATGATTAGATTAAATTTGTATTAATCGTTTAAGTCTCATTGTCAGTGATATTTAAAAAAAAAAAAAGAACATTGTGTCATCAAATGTCAATGAAATTTGAACAGTATGATTGAGCGAGCGACTTGGGGGACTCAAACGATTAATCTTGATTTTATTTTAATATGTTTGCAATTCCTGGCTAATAGTCATTAAAATCGCATCATCTGGATTAGCATAGCTAACTAGATCTGGAATAATGAAAAGTGACAAATGTTAAAAGTACCATATTTTGATATGACAATTAAGGAATAATATAAAATATCCTTACTCACGATTATGACATCGTTGTGAAGTATACAGTTTGCGTAATATTAATTGCATGAGCCAGAAAATACTTAGCCATACAAGAGCACCCACTGAAAATACTCTAAATGTTATAACACCTCCGTATACGTCCATTATCCATCCACACAATAAAGTACCACTTGATGCACCTAAAATAATAATTTACATACAACAACAACATTGTTAACATTACATTTGACTTTATATAATATACAAGGAAAATATGAACTAACCAATTCCTTCAAAAATAGCACCTATTAAGCCTTGTATAGTAGCTTGAGTACCAGGAGGAGTTACTTTGTCACCATAGGATACCATTGTTGGCCAACAGAGACCAAATGATGGACCATGAAATATTTCCAAAGGTAAGAATAACCATGGATTTGTTATTACGCTGTATGCCATAAACCTTCAAATAAAAAAAAAACAATGTTCTATTATTTGAAAAGAATATTTACTTATAAATGAAGTTAATTATTTTGAGATTTTATATACCTTATAGAATAAATAAGTAATACAAGACTCATAACATTAATATGGCCAAGTTTTTTCAAAATAGTTCCAGACAAGAAATTAAATGGCAATTCTGCTAAGAAACATTGTATACCAGTCAATAGACCTTGCAAAGTTTTAAGCCATTTAGTTTGCGAGATTGTAGCTAAATTTTCAGTATGCCAAAATAGAAAGTTCCATACTACTCCTGTGCACATTCCAGCACCTATGCACCACCATGCAAATATCCACACGTTAGGCTCTTTAGCGACAGTTAACAGCTCCTTCAGCATCGATGGTTCATCAGAACATTCAGGATTTTTCTGTAATGATACTGCTTGCTCCCATTACCTGCCAATTTTGGATTCTTTTGATAAGTAAGCAGAGTTGTGCTTTTATAATGTCAACCCATATTACTTCGAACACACCTTTCGCAATGTAGATGATACCATAAGATCAAGAATCATAAAGATTAACATGATAAAAAATATACATGTATAATCCTTTTGAAATTGTCCTTCGCTAAAAACATCCACCAAGTATCCTGCTGCTATACCAAAAATTCCAAATCCAATGCTGCCCCACATCCTTTGTTTACCATAATCACTTCTTCTCTCATTTCCTAACAAATATAACATTAATGTATTATCACATGTGTTAACATTATAAATATTAATTTTGTAAATAGAAATATAAGTAATACAAACCAAGTAAATTGAAACAAATAGAATCAGCAATGCTAACAATAACTGCCATGCAAACCCAACTTGCTGTAGCAGCCCATAAAAATAAATGAAATTGATGAGAAGATGGTGTTGTATGTTCATTATAGTTGTCAGATTCACGTAACAATTCATTTAAAGCTGGATGATGACATGTAGCGAGACACGAAGTTTGTAATAATTTTTTACAAGCTGGTACATGGGTAATTCCATTGGAAAAAGTTAAGTTAGAAATTTTGAGAGTTGTAAAATGTTCATCCTAAAAAATAACAAAAAAAAGAAATGTCATATTATTGTAATGTGAAATTTTGCTGAGGTTGCGTTAATACGTAAAGTAATTATTTAACTTACAACAGGTAAATCTTTGAACATGTTAATCGTTGCTTTCAAATCAAACGTTTCATTTGGTAAAATATTAGAACCATTTGTAACGCAGTACTTTGAATTCCATGGGCACAATTCTTCATAAGCTCTTTTAGAAGCTTTACAAGATAACTACAATATAATAAAATATTATCTCAAGATTTGAATATAATATATATTTTAATATATATATGTATATATACAATAATATACCTGGCATGTTGGATTATTGATAGTTTCCTTGTTTGTTATTATAGAATTTAATACATCTGTAGAAAATCCTTCCTTAGAACGTACTTCTAAAAATAAATCTCCCTGACATGTAAAAGTAACATTTGTACTTGCATCTGGCTGAGGTATAAAATGAATAGAGAAAAGACTTATGATCAATAATACTTGAAATAGTAAAAAAAAAGTTTTAGGAAGATTAAATTTATCAGCTAATCCTCCAAACAATGGTTTAGCGACCAAACCAGATATGGGTAATACTGTATAAATTGTGCCAACCAAGCTGCTTGAAAAACCTAATTGTTTTGCTATCGTTGGTAAAAATGGCACTATTGGACCGGTTGCTATAAATAAACAAGAAAATATTATTTAATTTTAATAAAATTATTTAAATTATGAATATTATTAAAATGATTCAAATTATAATTAACACTGGATATACCAGATCAGTCATTTTGACTGGTCAGGCCATTTTAATTTAAAATTTCTACTTCATGTAACATTTGACTTTTGTAAATAATGAAGCATTTTGTTAATTAAAAATGTCTACTAAAATTATTATTGTTAAACATTTTTTGTTACTTTTTTTTAAAGAATAAATAAAGACTGGAAGTAAAATTCAAAAAGCATTTTTTTTTTTTTTATATATACCAGTCATTTTGACTAGTGTGGTAGAAATAAGTATAATGAAAATGGTGGTATATCTAGTGTTAACATTGTTATTAATTTAACGTTTATATTTACCGGCATTAAAAAAGAAATAATGTGCTTTAATAGGAAGAAGACTTTTGTCTACGTTGTCCAACATTGTGTTCAAATATTATAACTGATATTTTTTTTTAATTTCAATGAAACTATCTAGTCAAATGAATAATTTTGAAAAATAAATAATCACGTCAAATGCACTGCATAATTGATTATAATGTAAATAAAAAAGATTATAATATGAATTAATTTTTGCAATGTTGATTTATCAAGATGTTACAAAAATTAAGTGTCAATAAGAAGATTATTAATTATCTTCTACTTAGATAAAATAGATGTTTAAGATTGTTTTATTAAAAATATATGAATCCTTCTTTTTTTTTTTTTACTAATTTTATATATATTTTTTATATATAAAAGTTATCTCATTGTAAGATAATATTAAGTATTTGTATTGACAAAATATCAATTCACTTTTGGATGATAATTTTTTTTTTTTTTTTAATTAATCATCACTTTTTCTACTTTAGATTAAATATACATTTAAATAAGAAAAAGAAAAAAAAAACATGAAAGATAAATACAAGTATTTAATCTAAAAAAATATTTAAAAAAGAACAAAAATGAAAGATGGCAATTACACGAATGAAAAAAAAAGAAAAAAAGAAATAACTTATCTGAAATATTAAGAGTTCAACTTTAGACTGTCCAAATGTTAAATGGTAAGATGATCTTGATTAAAATGCAAAAATGATGATACTACAATCCTTAGGGGAAACAATCTTATATAGAAAAGCAATCTCAACTAACAAACGAGTTATTCGTCATAGGTGCGCTAGTGTCGTTTCTATTCGTATTTATATATATATATATATATATATATATATATATACACGATCTGTTTTATATCATTTGATAATAACTTTATTAACACTTTTATTTAGCAAATCGACCAATTAAATGCAAGCTCATATGATAAACAATTTAACAAACTATGATTATAATTGTTATCTACATTTCAGTATGTTTCAAATATATAATCAATTCAAATACTTCTTTTTTTTTATTATGAAATTATCTTGATGCACTTCAATTGCATTTGTTAAGAAAAATTTAATAAAATACATGTGATGATTATTTTGATAAAATATCTTTTTAAAAAAAAAAAAATTATACAATTACAAATAATTCGCATATAAAATAAATATTGCGAAATATAAATTGAGATATAAATTATCCTATCTTTCAAGTTGAATGAAACTGCACACAGTATGGAAAATTTGATTAAAATCGGTTTCAGTAGTTTAGGAGTCCATTGCGGACAAACAACGTGACACGTAATTTATATATATATATATATATATATATATTAAGATAAGATATTCCTGTATTCTTATTATATTCTGCTGTTATTATACAGCAAATATCTTTTATAATTCATTAATTTTTTTTTTCTTTTTTTTTTTTATACATTTACTTAATTAAGATACAATTACACACGTTAATTAGAATAAAAATTTATTTACAATTTCATTAGATTCATTGATGATTACTTTTCTTATATTTCTATAATTTAATAATATTAATATATTTTTATAATAATTTAATACTATTAAAGAGAATGTATATATATATATATATATATATGTTATAGTATTATATTATATCACAAAAATGATTTATTTAGAATTTGTAATCTTCGATATAACATATACAAACATATAAGTTGATGTTGGTATGTCTTATAGTTTTATATTAGATTAAATGGACAATATATTATACCGAATTTTTATCTATGTCACGAGCTGCTTGCTTGTATCATTGATTGGTTATCTACTTGCATATAAAATTGCTCTCCAAACCATTCTCTATGCATTTCCAAGTAACTGTAAATAAACTTATGTTATTTTCATCGTTTAATATTATTAATCATTCAAATAATGTTTTCTTCATTACCTGAGAAACATATCTAAATATTTCATTAGTAGTTTTAATTTTTTATTTGGAATATCAGCGGATTGCAACAAATCGGGTAATATCACTGAAATAAAAGAAAATTAACAAATAAATTAATTGTTTCTTATACAAGGATTTAACATTTTTTTATAGTAAATGAGTTGTATCGTACCAAATAGTCTTGTAAGATGAATAGCACCATAATATGTTGAAGGATTTGGTGTATTATTACTACACGTTGAAGAATCTGGTATCAATCTCCATTTATTGGATTGTTGTAGTAAAGCATTTATTTGGGCAGAAGGAATAACAGGCATTCTCAGTGTTACACCACGTGGACTAGAACATCTGGAGCTAGTACTTGCTATGCTATTGAATACAATTTGTCATTGATTCTTCATGTTTATATTCGCGTTTATAAATACACTAAGGAGAAAATAATACCTCGATAAATTTCCTGGATCAGTTTTAATATCGTCGAAAGAACGTAGTTGTCTATTTTCATCGACAGAACCAAATCTGTACGATCTTAATCTTCTTTTAGAATTAATAGTGTTTTTTGAAGTAGATTCCATGTCTTGTTCGTGTTCTTGAAATGGTGGTAAATGAGCATATTCTGTATCTTCGAATTCTTCTTTGATTGAAATATCTGTATGTCTTATCAAATATAAAAATCTATCAATTTTGACTATCATAAATGTGTTATAACAATTTTGTTTCATATTACTTACTCGATCGTTTCTTCTTTTATTATTTGTACTTGTTCCGAGTATAAAAATGAAGATTTCAAAGTACAGTACTGTTCTTTTTCTTGTCTGTATAATAAAAGTTCGTGTAATGTGAAATCAAAATATATACGCAATCCATCTGCTATTTCTCTGCATATGTTAACTTCATTTATTGTTTTTTCTATGGAATTATTAGTTTTATTTCGTTGTGGTTTGTCTGGAATGTTTGTTAATCGTGTTGTAGTAAAATGTTGCACCCATGATTCTAGAATGTTTGAAACTGTTGGTTGTGCAGGTAATACAGCCAACTGAAAAAGATGTTAAAAGATATTTTAAAAACAATCATTAAAAAATTGACACAATATTTACATATATAATAATACATGCGAGAGGATACATAATGCAAAAGTATCACCTTGTTTTTACTAGTAATTAAATCATGATCTAAATCCAAAATTCTTTTCAGGGTGGTACCTATATCAAGATCAACTCCTGGCTTAACACTTGCACCAGATTGACTTCCACCACCACTACCTTCATCATCGCTACTTTCACCGACATAATCTGAACTACTTTCGCTATCTTCTTCTGTAATAACTTCCTACAAATGAAAGACACATAAGATGTATTTTTTAAGTTGTAAATTCTGGCACTATAACAACGTATGGGATTTATAATAAGTTTGGATCATACTTCTGTGTCATAATCAGCTTGTTGTCCTGAACTACCATCTTCAGAAGATCCAGTAGTAGCAGAAGTAGCTCTACTGCCACCGCTTCTAGCTCTCCTCCGTGGTTCTTGACTTTCTGATTCGTTTAGTCGATCTGATAATTTGTGACTTCTTTTCTTACGTTCTCGGCGATATAAGTAGGCACCCCTTATTTAGATAGATGAATTTTTTTGAATAAATTTTGAAGAGTGTTACAGAGTTCTTGAAAAAGTTTACAATTACATTTCAGATCTACATAAATAATATTAATGATAAATATTAATGAATTAGAAAAAAAATATTCAATAGTTTGATTTAATAAGATATATATATGTATATATACAGTTGCAGTTGTGCTTTCTGTGCGAGGTCTCTCTGAAGTTGTCGATTCTCTTCGGTGTCTTTTAAAACATATTCCTCTGTTACACACCGGTCCCATGATGAGTTCCATCCCTAAATAAGAAACAGACATTTTAAGACATAGCAAAATAATACAAGGAGTGTTCAAATTAGCATTGTAAGATTCTCACTTGAAAGTGTATCAAATATTCTACTGCTTTTCTTCCACGTTGATCTTTATTTATAATAACATCTAAGACCTATAAATAATTATATAGGAATTATAAATATTGAATAGGTTAGAATACAAATTTTCTTACCTTAGAATCATACAGCACTTTAGCTTTCGTGGGATCTGGCTCGTAACAGAGCACTTTTTCACCATCACAGAATTTAAATTTAGGTCCACGTGTAGAAACCATTATTTTATATGTTCGGTCTGATTATAAAGATTACAATTAAACAAATCAATATCGCGTTAGTCAACACCTTTAAACATAACCTATTGAGTTAATCGAAAAATAATTCAACGTACGTTTCGTTCCATTGTTACAAATTTTGACACTTCCTTAAAAATGAAATTAATCGCACCAATAAATAATAATAATAATAACTAACTTTTAGGTTAACGATTAAACGTGAATATTTTACCACTAGTATTTTTTTAATAATTGTTGACAGATAATAATTGTTATAAATGCACTATTATAACCTAACTTTGATTGCCACTTGAATAAAAATACACTACATATGCACCGCATGACACGCGCAGAGGTTAACTGCCATCTCGTGGTTAGAAATCGGAGCGCATGCATACCGGGCATGACATGCGCAATAAGTCTAGTGCCATCTCGTGGTTACTGATCGGAGCACGTGCATGTAACGCATGCGCAGTAGTGAGCATATACATGCAGCGCATGCGCAGTAGTAATTACATACTTATATCGTAGATAGTAATAAAATTTAAAAAATACGCGTTAAAGAAATAAAATGAGGAATATAAAATAGATCGATAAGAAAATCGAGTGTATTTTCGTGTCGTTGTGATTAAATTTTGACTTGATTAAATGTTAATGTAGATGCAGGAGAGTAAATAAGTGGGGGTAAAGGTAACCTGGCGCTATTCGGTGCGTTCGTGAACTCGTTAGTCGTGTCATCGCATAGTAGTGGTGCATATTTATACCAATAGGTAGGTTGCATTAGAAAGAAAGAAATAATAATAATAAAAAAGGAAAAAAATACGACGGGCTCGAAAATATAACGTGTCGCTACATAAGTTTACTATAGTATAATCGGGTGTGACGTGCGTGTTAGTGTATGTATACGACGTATTTGTATACAGTATTTACGATCAAGTTAGCTACTGTCGAAATAGAAACAGAAGGTGAATATATATATATATACTGTGTTTAATTAAATCGCATAAAAAATAGTTTTCAAAAGTATTCGCTTATAAATTAATCGTTGGTGTGACAACGTGATTGTTTGAAATTAATTGATAGATCGTTGATAAATTTGCGCCGTACAAACAGGTAGTTGCTAAAGAAGTACGTCGTTCGTGAATATATTGGGTGGTATTATAAAGTAACTTTCATATCCTAGTTGAACAACGAAAGAAAAGAAAAAGGAAGAAAATATAAAAACGAATGGTGTCATCGTTATTATCATCATCAACATCATCACCATTCTCATTATTACCGACTTGGAATAAAAAAGAAAAAATAAATCGCGCGTGATCTTGAAATAGAAGAAAGAAGAAAGGAAGAAAATAAGAAAGGAGCGATTTTTGAATCGCATTGTAGGTAAGTTTATTCTATTCGAAAGCGTTGACCTATTTTAACGGACGTCGTCGTCGTTGTGATGGTATAGTTGCAATGGTGGTAGGGTTATAAATGTATTTTCGTCTGTTGATTCTTCTCTTTTGGTTTTAATAGTAGCTCACACGTGTTACGCATGATAACTTTTCGATATATTTCGTGAGAATCGATTATTATTTTTTAATTGTAGTAAAAAATATAAATAATACATTTATTGTTTTACGTAGTACAATGATGGCCACTCGCATTGAATTCTTTTTTTTTTTTTATAAGTATACCCTATATGAAAAATAATAGACAGTGATTTGATTATTAAATGACTACCGACTGTCACTTTTTCGTCTGGTATAGTATTTTTTGTCATTATTAACATAATTATACTCGTCTTCTTAACGTCATCCTACAATATAGTGTTAAAAAAAAAGTTGATTGCGTGACAATTCGCTGAGATAACGCGCTTGGTTTCATATTTAATTCTTTAAGGTGTGCGTGGGTATTATGCGTGCGAAAGTGTTACGATCTTTTACAATAGTATTACGAGACGACTTATTACAGTCAATTTATAGCCGACTAGTTTAACGATCATCGTAATACTTTACTTTCAATGCTTCTTTTTATTATTCCTGATATTACGATTACGTTAGAAAATGAATTTTTATGATTGTACGATGATCTATAGACAAGATTTCTAATTGTATTTTAAACGGCATTATTATTATCGTTTAATACGCATGCTCAAATCATTTATACATATATATATGTTACGTGCGTGCATACGTGCGTATGCATCTAAAGTGTGTTAAATTACGGTGATTTTTCAATAATATGAATCATAGATTATTATAGTTATGCCTATAATAATTTATTCTTTTGATTAATATCATTTGAAAAAAGGAAATAATAAAAAAAAAACAATCGATAAAAAAGTATTCATTTGATTCATAATAATGACAAATAAATATTAATCGAAAATCGTGATTGGTTGAAATTGGCGCGAAATTGATCTCCTTTACGATTGGATAATTAAAGTAAAAAAAAAAGAACATGGCTGACTTTTTGTGAATTTTATTTTTCGTTCTTATATTTGTGTTGACTTTTTTCTTTCTCTGTTATTTGATTTATGTATCTTTATTTAAAAAAAGAAGTATTTAATTACTTTTCGTAAGTATCATCAGATAAATTGTATCGTTGATCCTTTTTTTGACTTTATCTCAACAACGCAAACGCGTTAACGCCTTTTACGATAGCGGACGTAATCAATCGGGGCGGTGTTTTGTCATATTTTTTGAAAAATACATTTTATTTGAATGTAATTTTGTATAAATAGGATGACATATATATATATATATATATATAAAACGATGACGTGTTGCGAGGTGTAGATTAAAGGTGACTAGGTATTGGTGACCTTTTAAGTGAAGATATTTAAACAAAAAATTCAAAAGTATGCATAAATAAAAAAAAGGATTACTTGTGCCACTTCTTAGCATATCATGCAAACCTGTTGAATATTCTCATTTATAACATATATATATATATATATATATATATATATATATATATATATCTATCTATCTTTTGTAACATATACATTTGTTACAGTCCATTTACCACTTACGACTTATTAGTGATGTAACACGTTAATTCATACTACAGTAAATGTTTTGTTAACATTAGTGTTAGAATTTAATTAGAAGAATTCATACAATTTTTGTTTAAACGTAAAATGAATTTGTAATTTCTTTTTTTCTTTTTTTGTAATTAGATATTAAAACAAAATAAAGAAAAATGGATCAAGGATTTCCTGGGCAACATACTACAACAACCGTCACCACTACGACGACCACCATTCAACCAAATGTACGATTTGATCCATCTTATATGAGAACATTACCTGGTATTCTCAAAATTTTACAAGTGGTAAGTATGAAAACGTACGCCTACGTATTAAAAAAAAAAAAAAAAAAAACCAGTTCAAATGAAATCATTCCATTCGCCCATTTCTAACACCCCCCTGTTTCCTCTTTTACAGATATTAAATTTCTTGGGATTCATATGCATCACCGTGTCGATTTACAGTAGCCATAGTCGAGGAGGATGGTTTAATACAGTTGCTATGGGTGGTTTTTGGTTCACCGGTGTATTACTTGTACTTTATTTATTTCACATCGTTGAAAAATTCTCCAAAATTCCATGGTTGAAAATCGTAAGATAATATTATTTTTCAATACAAATTTCGTTTAATATTATAGCTCGTAAAAAGTAAAAATATCTTTTTGTTATCATTGTCTCATTAAAACGACTCCTATCTATATATGATGTTATCATATCGTATGTTTATGATGTTACCAAAATAATATTTCATTTAAAACGTTGAATCACATTTGTATGCATCTTAAATATCACACAAAGATATTAAATTTTGTTCAAATGAAACTTTCTCAAGGTTATTGTAATGATAAGATCTTATGATGAAATGAAAAGAGAGAGAGAGAGAGAGAGAGAGAGAGATAGAATTAATTAATTAATTAATCCATGTAAAGAATAAATTTTTCTTTTTCTCAAATTACATATCTATATGTTTCATCTAATCAAATATTTCATTGAAAATTATTGAATAAATTTAATATTAATTTTATTAAATTAAAATTAATTGTATAATGATCAAATTAATTCATTAATTTCTAAATAATAATAATAATAATAATAATAATAGTTTCACTTCTATCATTTCTCGTGTAAACCCACGCACATTTACTTTTTTTTTTTATATTATATTATGTTTTTCTTACCTTCTTCTTCTCTCTTACTTTTTCTTTACAGTGATCTCTCAAGTGAAAGCTCGTTTGGAAAGTTTAGTGTATTTATAGAAGTATATATAATTATAAGAAATTAAATGAAAGAATAACTGTAGTTTTTTTTTTTTAATTTTGTTGTTGTTGTTTTGTATTTAACCGTTATGCTATTTGATTTCTAATTGCTCGTTAAGAAAAGATCAACGATCTTATTTTCTTTTTACTGATAAAACTTGTCAAATAATAGTAAATGTAAATGTAAATGTATTGTTTTTACAGGAACTCATATTTTGTTCAATTTGGACGATATTTTATCTTCTGGCTGCTTCCTTGGCAGCCGATTATGGCCGAATTGCTGAATCATTTGCCGTTGCAGCGGTAAGAATATTAAATCAAAATGATTTCAAATAAACAAAATTCTATTTCTATAAATTTCTATTTGTTGTTCTTCTTCTTTTTTGTTTTTTTTTTGTTTTACAGTTCTTCGGTTTTTGTGCTATGGTAGCTTATGGTTACGACGCATGGTTAAAGTTTATTGCAGTTAGAAGTGGAGCATTGGCTCAGGGTCAACATATGCCAAAACAAGTGACAACTGTTACCAGTCCTGCGTATTAAATTTGTCTAGGTATTTGTTTGAAAATATACGACACACGTCTATAAAAGTTGATGATGATGGAATTGAGAGAGAGCGAGAGAGAGAGAGAGAGGAATATAAAAAAACCCGAATGATTATTAAATCTCATAGAAAGATCTTTTGGTATGAGATCATATATGAGTATATGAGATCATTCAACGTGTGATCATCATTTTATGTATTTATATCGTACAAACTAATACATATCCATTATACTCATTTAAAGACTTTTTAAAAATATATATATATATAAAGAGTAAGATAAAAGTTAATTTACTAAGAAATTTATTTATATTTTTTATACTTGTACAAAAAACAATAGATTTTGATGAGAACTGTATTCTGAATAATTTCAACGAACCAATACAAATATAACGTTAGATGGGAGGATAATATTAGAAGGGACCTGAAAGAAATAGGATACGAAGACCGCGAATGGAAGTATCGTTGTCAGGGACGAGAACAATGGCGGCGGGGGATTTGATATTTGCGGCAATGAACTTTTCAGTTCTTAATGCCAGTTAATAATAACAATACAAATATAATAATTATTTATAACAAAAGTAAAGAGTTCATAGTTTTGTTTCAAGTTATTTAAAAAGGAACACAAACTTTTATCTCACTCTGTATATTGCACATTAGTTTTGCGTATCGTTAAAATGTTCAACTTATGGAGGTCAATCATTAATTAATTGAATGTTGTTTTACGATGCATCATATCGGAATGGAATCTCGATGAGTCATCGTTTAGATTTGTCAAGAACATATGCATTATTATAAATAACATTTCTTGTTTCTTATTTTTTTTTTTTTTTCTTTTTTTTTCTTTTTGTTAATAGAAAAGAGACACCAACGCTTTGTAATAAGTATTTACTTATTAAGAAATATATATATATATATATATTACGCGAATCGTATTAAAATAATATTTAATAATAACACGTTGACCAAATAATCCCAATAATAATAATAATATATATTATATAAACTATCCTATCTTTCAAGTTGAATGAAACTGCACGCATTGTGCAAAATTTTATTCAAATCAGTTCAGTAGTTTAGGTGTCCATTGCGGACAAACAACGTGACACGTAATTTATATACATATATATATTATATATATAATCGTTATGAAAGTAAATTATTAAAACGTTTGAAAATAGTGTCGAATATACAATGTTTACGTTGTTAATGATATTTTTATTATTTTTTATTCGATCGACTCGATTATACAGGTACATCAATATGTATAAATATACACGTCGTAGATATATCAAACTAAATAACTAATTTATTATATCATTAGTCGACGTGAATGTGTGCATGGCAGAGTTTAAGGGGTGGTATGGGATTGATAAAAAATAAAAATTCAAAGCAGATGATTATTAACTAACTTTCTCGAATCTAAACAAAACAAAACAAAAAAATATGATGATAAATACAACCCTAACGCGTATTTCACGTTTCTTTTTCCTACCGTAATATTCCATTTTCTTTCTTTTTCTCTCCTTTACTTTCCTTATTACAAATTTATTCAATATTCTTCGATCGTGAAAGAAGTTACACACACATATATCTCTGTCTGTCTCTATGTATGTGTGTGTGTGTGTGTGTGTGTAAAAATATACAGAACAAAATTATTTCTAGAATCAGAACTGTCGATACTAGGAATTTTCTTGATAAATTCATGAAATATTTCAAAGTATTTCTATTTCTAGAAATATTCGATTGAACTATTCAAATTTGTATGTTAGCTTTTTTTTTTTTTTTACTATGACCTAAATAAATGTAAACTTGATAATCTGGATCATCAGTGTCCATACGTAGGTCGTGGACGACGTGATTGTTTCTTACCCATACTCGAAAGATCAATCGTTTTACCATCGGGTAAGACTAATTTGTTTTCTTGATAATCAACGAATCCATTTTCTTCTTCCTCTTCTTTTTGTTCCTCATCACATTTAATTCCAGTCTCGTAAGTGTATTCACGTCTAAGACCATCCGGATCAACGTAACCATATTTGCCACGAGTTATGCAATCAGTACCAATGATTTCTTCCTTGTACGAACCGTCATCGTTCTCAAAACCCCAGGTGATCGAACCATCAGCATTATCGTTACGATATCTTCTTATTATCTAATTTGAAAAGAAATAAATATATACAACGATTCAATGTATCCTATTGAATCATTAAAAAACCTACCTGTGCTACCGGTTTCTTGCCACGACTATCATAAATCTGTGTTGGTTTAGAAGGTTTAGGTGGGGATCCTCTAATTTGATCTTTAAACGGTGATTCTTCAACTATCGGTTGTTTCCTTGGTTTCGTAGGTTTTGGTGTTGTTCGATATTGAACAGGTGGTGCTTGTTGAGCTAATGAACCTCCTCTACCAGTTGGTGGTGATGCCGGAGCAGATGCCGCTTGATAAGAAGGACGATATTGTCCTGGACCAGATGATTGTTGCTGTTGTGTTGCTGATGGACCACTGGATTGTCTTTGAGAATCACTCGAACCTGTATTACCGATCGGTCTGGAAACATTTTCATCGCTAATTTCTTCCTCATCCTCGTCCGGTTCAAAACTACGATCTTCCTCACGTTCATGTTGATCACGGAATCCTTCACGCGAACGTTCATCTTCCTCGCTATCCTCTTTCACTGGTTTTACCTGCTGAGGATAATTCGGTGATGATGGAATTGCTGCTGGGAGTACACCTGGTCTACTGAGTCTCACTGTTGGAAATGATGCTGTTGTTTGACCATCTTCACCTCCTCTTGATCTGATAATAGAATTTAATTATGTATTATATAAGTTTATAAATGTATTTATATAATAACAGTTAAGAGATTAAGAAGTGTATACCTGAACGTAATTGGACGACGTAATCGTTGATTAACTAATACCGATTGCGAAGGTGCACTTGGTCGTGCTACAGGTAACCTCTGATATCGAGCAGATCGAATAGCTGCAGGTGGAAATTGGCCTCTTTGTGGGTTACCACCAACTCCTCCATCCGTAAACTGTGTCGTAGCGAGTCCTACGACGCACGCCAATAACTAAATCACAATTATTATTAATTATATTATTATTTATTTATTTATTCTTATTCTTTTTCTATTAGATCGTCCCATAAATTTCTTCTTTTTTCAATAATTTATTTTATATAATATATATTAAATTTATAATTAAATAATATATAGTAAAATACAAGGGTAATATAGAATAAAATCGATATTATTTAATAAAATAATATAAAAAATATTACGCATAAAATATTGTGCAACTTATTACCAAAAAAAAAAAGAAAAAAAAGGAAGACATTTGTTGGGACTATCTAATATTTATTTCTTCTTTATTTTTTTGTCAATAAATAATATAATTATTAATCAACAAATAATTGCTTAACACTTCTTTAAAAGGATTTCAATTCAATTACGAATTAATTTAGTTTGCTTATATGCAACAAATTAGGTTTGCACGTAATACTAATTGAATATAAAAAAAAAAAAAAAAAAACAACAAAAATAATATTATCTATCAGTACTTTCGAAGAAACATTTGTTTTTTTATTATTACTTGACTAAACTTTTCCTGGTTCGATTCTCTCGAATCTCTCAACGAGTTTTCTACCAAATGTTGTTTAATACGGGAAGTTCAAAAGTATTTTCAACATGTACAGTACGATCGACTTAAATGTCAGTAGAATTAAAATGGTAATGCCTATAAACGTGTATATATATATATATATAAAAGAGAATGCATGCGACACACGCATATATGTGTGTGCGTATATATGTTACATGACAGCATTAATGTCTCTTTGAGGCCCACCACCAATATCGAAATCACTTTCTCTTTTTCTTTCGTGATACTCTCTGTTTATTTATCAATGTGTTTGTTAGTTACATTACACTTTCTCATATAACTTCTTTATAATCAATCTTACTTTTAAACTTACTCTTATCTCATCGATTATGCACATTCCAAGGTTATTTTTTTCTCTTTTTTTTTTTTTTTTGAGATAATTAAATAATAATTAAAATAATTGTGTTACATAATTATTAATACTTTAGATGAATAAAAATATGTAGATTAATTTTGAAAATATAATTTATTATATATTTTTGTATTTAAATATTATTATTAAAACGTAATTGATACGTTTGAAATTAAATGAGACATTTTTTTTTATTTTTTATTACATTAACTTATTAATTTTTATTTTATTATATATATTATATAATACATATATAAATTATATATATTAATAATATATAATATATTATATTAATTTATATTATTATATTAATATAATATTAATTACTATTAATTAATATATTATATTATATATTATATATTATATACTATATATTATACTATTATATTATATATTATATATTTTTTTTTATACACCAGTCATTTTGATTAGTGTGGTAGAAATAAGTATGCTGAAAATGGCGGCATATCTAGTGTTAAATTAATATATTATATATATTATAATAATATATTAATTGAATTGATATTATATATAATTAAATTGACTATATACTTTTGACTTCAAATGAATATAAATTTTGGGTTTTTTATTTGTTTCTCAAGTGATTGATTTTCAACAAATATTAAATACACTCACTCAAACACATAGTTTCGTTTATCTTTAGAAAAGATAAATTCACGTTTTGAATGTTAAATGATGATGAAAATGAAGAAAGTAACTACGCACATTCTGATTTATGCTAATAGAACTTCGATAAATAGAGCTCGACACGAAGGAAGCATGGCAAATTAAGTAGAGAAAGGTTTTATTTCAATTTCGTGAAAAGAGTTAATCGATTCTTTGAATTTAAGTCACGTACTATTACATCAAAATGTTGAACACAAAGTTTGCTAAATTTCTCTTGATAATAATAATAATAATAATGATAATAAGAATCACGAAAGGAAGGAATTTTGTTGTTGCAATCAATTTCCGGATTTTCCATAACGTTCCAATTATCTTTGTTATGGTATTAATAATAAAAAATATATATATATATATTAACTTAACAACTTTCTTAAACGAAAACGCTTTCACTTCGGCATTCATATAAATTTTCGTTCACCGCGATTGGCCGAATGTATTCGACCAATCGACCAATTACATTTCTTATTGGTCAATTTTCCTTTTTTTAATTTTTTTTTTACTTTTTTTATTTATGTCCATTTACTTTTTTGTTC